CCCCATTAAAAGACTTGGGGACTGACGTTTCTAAAATCAACCCTCAAATGAAGTTAAGGGTTTTATTACAAACTTCCAAAATCAAAACAAAAAAAAATCATTTGAATGATTAAAACTGGTCACTAAGAAGTTTATGGTATTGAGGCAGGAACGTCAATAGCAGCAGGCTCAATTTGGGCAGGTGCATGAGCAGGCGCGATTTCAACTTGGCTTGCAGCAACGGGCTCGATCGGGTTTGAAATAGTCATGATACCCGTATCAGCTTCAACATTCATGAGAACTTAAGCCACGGGAACTTCATCCACGGGAGAAGGGAAGCCCTGCGTTTGTTGAGCTTTTTCAATGGTTTCGTTGATTTTAGCTAACTCCAACTCCAGGTTGAAGTTTTCTTGGCCAGCTTCAAGTAGGGTGTCACGACGGGAATTCAAAAAATCCCAACTTGCCTCAACAACAAATTTTTCTTCAAGGATCTCATAATCCTTTTCCCAAGCAGCGATCTCATTTTTTAGCTCTTCATTTTCAGCCAAGGCGGAGCTGTGGGAAGCTTGAAGAGAGGCGTGGGAGCATTCTAAAGCACACACCTTATCAGCAGAGATTCTGAGGTCTTCTTGTGCTTGAGTCAAATTTTGCACAAGCTCCCCAGCGTAAACTTCATTTTGGTTTAAAAGAGCCTTTAATTCTCTGATCTCTTCACTAGCTTTAGATAGGTGCTCTGAGAAGGAGGACTCGAGATGCTCATTGTCTTTCTCTGCTTGGTGTGAAGAAGCTTTTGTAACCGCCAATTCGGAAGTTAAAGCTCATACTCGCTGCTCTAAGGTATTTTTGCTCTCTTGTAAGCTCTCTATATCAAGTTGAGCACTCTTAAATTGCCCCTTCCAATTGGTTGCTTCCAATTAAGAGTCGCGTGCTATCTTCTCCAAAGGGGCAATTCTTTTTATCAATTTTGTGCCGATAAGATTGACCTAAAAAAGTAGAAGAAATAAGAATCCCAAAGATGAAAAATGTTGCAAAGTAAAAAAGGGAGAGAAGGAAAATACCTTCAGAGTGGCATGAACGATATCATTCATTAAAGTCAGGGAACTGTGGCTCTCCAGCTTTGCTTTTTCAATTGGGCCAATAAGAGGCTCCAGCCATACATCCGCCTGACCTGACTTTCTCAAAAGGCTGTTCTCAGCAGGAATTTCAATAGTTACCCACCTCATAGCGGCCAACTTGACCCAAGCAAACACTGAAGAAACGGCAAAATTCAAGAATGACTGGGTCGATTGTTGGTCTAAACCCTAAAGTAAAAGGGTAAGTGTAAACAAAAGAGAACTCAGTTAAATAGGAAGTACTTCTCTGATTCGGATTAGGGATAATAATGGGAAAATCATTACTCCAATGACAGTCCTTACAAACCATAAGAGTCAAAACCTCTGTAATTTGAGTAGGGTAAGCATCGACACGATCTAATGTGGAAACCTGATTTTTAAGAGATTCCCTGTCATGGTAAAAAGACAATTCTGAAGGGACTATCTCATCTACTAAAGGTTCGCGTAAAGGTTCCGAATGATCTTTACCCCTAGAAGAAGATTTGTGAGAAAGGGAACCTCTGGTTCTAGAGGAAGGACCAGAACCAGAAGAAAGCATAGACGAACCACCTCGAGTAGATCCTAAACTACAAAGTCTACCTCCCCTTCTGTGCCTAACACGGGCATTGGGGAAGGAGTCAGTAATTGAAACTCTCTCAGGGTTACGGTTTGGAGAAGACATATCGAAGAAGAATGATTTAAGGAAGAAGTAAACAGAGATTTGGAGAAATAAGTGTTCAATAAGCTTTATGTGATAAAAGAAAAAGGGGAAAAATTATATTTATACCGATAAGCAACCGCCAAAGGTAAAAGTGCGGAGGTGGAAAGACCATAATTATGATAACTGGCACTTCATTAATAGTAGAACCGTAAAAACCATGAAAAAGGCTGCAAAAACTGCAGAGCCAATGGAAAATTGATACGTGTACGAAATATTAATGGAAGTGACAATTGAAGCGTCAATTTTGTCATAGCATTAATGGTGACAAATTTTTTTGTTTTAATGAAATCCACTTCCCAAATATTCAATTGATGAATAAATGGAAAGTGGGGGGG